TTAGTTAAAGGCGTTGCATGCACCTATCAGTAAAATACCATCTGTTCCTTCCTCTACAAACACTTGACTCATAGCATGTATCGCGGCCTCTAATATAAGCCTGCGCTATGGCCTGCGCAAACCTGAAGGGGGACCGCTGCCTCTTTGATCTCTTCCTTCAAAAATCCAGCAATAGTTTTTCCAACAATTCGCCTCAAGACCTCACCAACGCCAAAAGGTCGTATTCCAGGGTTTTTGTCCAAGGGGATGAGCCTGCAAGAGGTGTAGCCTTCCAGCAAAGATGGATGGTAAGCAGGAGCCCATCAAATGGAGCCTCCATCGCCATTAATTTCTTGAGTCAACCCTTTCCCGAGTAGATTTATAAATAGAACGGCTAGTTTCCCGCGAAAAGTGTCATATTTCCGTGAGTCTCGTGTGTCACCGTGAAAAAATAAAATTGGATGAAGTCGAACTCAAAAGCCCGTCCTTCGACCTTTTTCCTTTTTTCCTTTACGTCCATTTCTACAATTTTACAGCCGCTGGGATCTGGGTGTCATGAAATAAAAGTTAATGAATTACCCGGACTGAGACTGAGCATGAAGCGATGGGACAAAGGCAGCGAACTGAGGATCACGGAAAGGTTATCTTTGCGAGTGGTTTTTCTTTTGCCGTCATACATCCCACATTTAAGCATGTACCTTGAAAAGAGTCGACGATTAAACGTTCTGTGGACGATTTAAAACTTTTCGATGATCAGCGACGAAAAAGTGCCAGGATTATATGATTTTTGTCATATTTCGCCAGTTAAGCACCGCGTGCAAAAGCAATGACCTAAGTAGCAACTAACGAGGAATGCTTCAGTTCCGAAATTTGAGAAATTGCAGTCTTCCTTTACAACTGACTTGTATCACCATGAGAGTTGCCTGATAAAACTGGCACTTGAAAATTTGAACAGAAGACAACAGTTGCTCGACCGTGAAGCTAACTCAAAAGTAATTTGCTAACGGAGGAATTTGTGACATCGCGCTCCAGTCCAAAGACCAACTTGTCTCAAGAAAAACAAAATGGATTGTATCTGCGCCAAAAGAATTATGACTGACTCACAGGACAATTCTCAGCAGTTAATGTAGAAGTTTAGGCTCAATTCCTTCCTTCGAATTCGCATCTGTAGATCACCTTTTTGCGAGAAAACAATGGCTGGGCCCGGCGTTACAAGACATAGCAGGGATTCATCACACTAGCTGACGGACAAAACAACCACAAGGACTACAAGTATTTATTCAGATAAACGCATTTTGGAAAAAGAAAAAAAACCTTGAGAAACTAGAAATTTGATTAATATTGAGTCATTTAGCCGAAGTAAGAACCTTGACGCTCAAAAATGAATCCTGTCAGAACTACAGACTGCACGTAGTAGTTAATCATTATGCATGTAACAGACCACCTTCCTGGCCTCATAATGTGAGAAAAGTAACCAAACTTAAGATTAACATAGTCAGCGTTTAAAACTCTCCACAGTATAATCTACCTGCTAGAAAGAAAAAAAAGAAAATCTCTGAGGGATGAAAACGCTGAAGTCACGTTTCACTAGCTTATGATTGTGTTTGGCCTGTCAACACCGAATTTCCTGCTGTTTGATGAAGTACAATAGCAGTGTCATTTCGTGGTTGTGAATGGCTCTTCCCACCGACGGCGCGCGAAGTCTCCCCTGGGAACCGTTCTAATTATAAATCTACTCGGGGAAGGGTTGACTCCAAGGGCTTGTATGAGAGATGGAGGCTCCATTTGATGGGCTCCTGATGGTAAGCGATCTTTAACATCTTTCTTGTGAAAACGGCTATCTCCTCTCTCAAAACCTTGCCCTCAGCCTTGAAATTCTTGGAGCAAAGGACTCTTCGATATAGCTCAACATGCATCCCCGACGGGCCGGCTGAGCCCTTTGTTTTGGTTGCACCATTAAAGATCATTTTCTCGTCGATCAAGTCTCAATGCTTTGAGGCTTGTCAAGTTTCTGAGCTCACTACTGACCTTTGACCAAATGAAAGTTCCTTGGTAGCGCAGCGAATGTCTCCCTCAGGCCACTGTATCAAAGCGGGGTAGTTCAAAATCGTAGTTTCTTAGGCGTTGGTGTGTACTTTTGATCGTGAATAACTCAGATAATACCTTGGCGCCATCTTGTATTTTACTTTATAGATTAGTACGGCAATGTCTTGCAAACGCTTCTTATAAAGCGTAGGCAGCTTGGCGCGAGTGAGGAGTTCCTCGTACGATTTAGTTTGAGATTTATAAACCGCGCGCAGCGCACGCTCTTGGATGCGCTCGATCTTTCTGCTATCAGTTGATTTGCAGAATTTCCACACTAAATGACAGTAAGTTAAGAATGGTAAGATGGACGTCTTGTATAACATTAACTTCGCGTTAGGAGGTATTAAGTTTCGCAGACGTACAAGTATTCCTACTTTTTGGCTAGTCTGGTACATAACTCGCTAAAATGACCCGCAAAGGTGAGATTCTCGTCAATGTAGACTACTAGTAATTTTATTTGCTCTGTTTTCCTGATGTCATGATTATCAGTGTTCAAAGTTTTATCGTCATTTTCTGCATCGATATTCCTGGGATTGACGGTTAAGGACTGGAACTTTTCCGGATTAGCAAGTAGAAAGTTGTTTTTATACCAAGACGACGCAAAGTGGCCCTGTGTTTTGAGCCCTGATTCTACAGTCCCATGAGTCTCGCCAGCTGCATACAATAATAGCCCTTACCGTTAGTGCTTTGTAGAATGATAAACGCTCACTTGAAACGAAGCTAAAAGTATTATGTTTACAGCAAAACAATAAAAAACAAACAAACAAACAAACAAACAAACAGACAGACAGACAAAAAATACAATATTCTTGTCATTATTATGATGACGATTTTTATTAGTAAGTGTTGTTGACATGAGCCTATGATGACACGTATTTTAAATGGAATGTTTTTAATTGAAATAATTTTTTTTAACAAAATGAAGTATTTTTCAATTTATCTTAATACAGTACTAATAATAATAATAACAATAATAATAATAATAATAATAATAATAATAACATTTGCTGACAGCCAATTCATAGGTTACGATTTCTAGAGTCCATATTGTGTCGACACTGTTTTCATCCATCGCGAGGAGGCCGTCAAAGCGTTTTGGACGTACGATTGCTTGAAGTGAAGGCCAGAGTGACAAGAATATTAAAAACGTTTTTGTAGTTTTTGTTCTTGCTAATTTTGTAAGGGGAAGGGATGTGACTTGACAAGCGTGACCACAATCATGCGATCGATTAATCATCTGGTCAGTGGTACTTCGTGTAACCAGATCTTTGTAGAGTGAGAATCGATCGCTCGCGCATTAAAGTTTCGTTGTTTTATTCCAACCAAAGCTGTGATTTAATGCCTTCAAATCTCAGCAAAAACGGTCTATCCTGGGCAACGTGGCTGTGCAGGAAGCTAATAACTATTTTTGCTGCTCAATAAGGGTACGATTAGAGTCCACAACCAAGCCTAAATCTTTATTTTCACCTACCTGTTGGTGAAGAAGTTATTGCCGGTGCTGTGTTTAAAAGAATAGACGTTACTGTTAGTGCGGTGTAAAATGATAAACGCTTCAAGCACACTTGAAATAAAGCTAAATGTCTTATGTTTACAGCGAAAGAAAACAAAACAAAACAAAAATAAACTAGCAATAGTCAAAGGGTAAAGAAAATGAAGTATTTTTCAATTTAACTAAATGCAATAATAATAATAATAATAATAACAACAATAATAATAATAATAATAATAATAATAATAACATTCGCTAGCAGCCAATTTATAGGTTACGATTTCTAGACGTGTAACTAGGAAGTTTCTGGAATTTTTACGCCGTAGTTGTGCAGAGCAACGCGAAGGAAATGTACAAAAATGTGTGCTGCACGTACAAAGTTGTTTATCATCGTCTACATATCATAAGCTTTAGGTTTAAATGTTGCTGTTAAATGTTGCTAAGTTTAGTTCTGGTTTTGCATAATTCGATCGCGCAGTATATCAACAAACATAATTTTGTTTGTAGCTTTCTATAAGTTTGTTTAGTCTTTTTATTCTTGTGCGACACAAAACCATCTCATAATTTTTCTACGCAGACTAATACACTAACAAGTTTTAGAAATGTTGTAAAGATTAGTTTAAGGTGGCCCGAACCTATTAATTGCTCGTTGGCACGTGATATCACGGCGGCCATGTTGGATGACAAGAACAAAACCATTTCTCTCCTCTGGGAACTTAACTCTATTTTCATGTAAATTCTTCATGAAAAAGATTCAATTGTATTGTCATCCAGCATGACCGCCTCGTCACTTGGTTGTAAATATGAGTGTTTTTGAATTGCGTTTTTCGGCAGGAAAGAGTTGACCGATTTCCACGATTTTTGGCATTTTTGATAAAGAATGATTGAACTTTTTCAGAAAATCTTGTAGGTACAAAAGCGTTTCAGATGTCGGCCTCTATTGAAAACTTCGTTTTACCAAAAAAAAAGGTTGATAACTCCGAAATCCCACGACAGATTTTTCCCTAAATTCAGCAAAATAGCCTCAGAGTTCTCTAGTTATATATCTGCAAGTTTGGTGGCAATCATGACCGTAGAACTTATTCCACAACGTTTTGATCAAATTTAATGTTAAAATGATAGGCTAACACATTTGTCAACAAAAACGCACAAATATAGCGGAAGAGAGCTAAAAGACTACTGAAAGGTTGTTCTTACCCGAAGCATGTTGTTGGAAGAAGATGAGCAATCAGACAACTACGGCGAACAATGTTCGCGCTCTAACATAATCAACTTTCAGCTACATGCGCGTTGAAATTAAATATCTTCCATTTATCCACTTTTCTCTGCATTTGTGCGTTCATGTTGGACAAAAATATTAACAAAACAAAATACAGCATCTGCGGAAACCTCTTGGCAGTTTTTAGGATGAAAGGTTCTCGTTCTAAGGCGAAATCAACCCGCTAGT